TATCGAAATAGTAACTTGTCGTCGTTCGATCGAGGTCGAACTCTTCTTTTTTGGCGAAGTCCCTTAGCCTTAAAGGGTGTTATTTTGAACTTATCGAAATAGTAACTTGTCGTCGTTCGATCGAGGTCGAACTCTTCTTTTTTGGCGAAGTCCCTTAGCCTTAAAGGGTGTTATTTTGAACTTATCGAAATAGTAACTTGTCGTCGTTCGATCGAGGTCGAACTCTTCTTTTTTGGCGAAGTCCCTTAGCCTTAAAGGGTGTTATTTTGAACTTATCGAAATGGTAACGCGTCGTCAGTCCCAGTTTTTGGAGAATCAGGCATCTTCTGGGGGAGTCCCAATTCGCTTAATATGTTTTCATCAGAGAGTGTAATGTCGGGGAATACGAAACGTTGTTGTTTCGCTTATGTTTGTTTTGCACACATATTGGAGTTTCCCTGTCTGATTCCGGCCTTCCGGCCTGGAGGTGTCATCGGAGGGCAATGTTTCGGTTGTCTTGTAGTAGTTTCCCATTCTCTGATCGAGATGTTTCTTTGCTCGCCCGCTCGCACGACACTTGTGTTCATGTTTGAGCATTGGGCATAAGGTGATTCAAAATGGCACTTTCCTTACCCCTATCCGATGAATCGGTGAATGAGAGTAGGTTTGTAACGTTGCTCATTTTGTCTGGAATGTTGACGGTTGATGGGGCGATGGTTCCTAAATTCGGTGGCTGTTTCCAGCTCTCTTTCCCCTCCTATGTCGCGCCTTTGCCTTGCGTGGGTTGGGCTTTTTCTTAGCGCTCTTTTTGGTGGGTATTCGTGTTTCTTGTCTTTGATCTGGAAGAGACTAGGAAATTTCACTAAGAAATCCCCATAAACGGCGCCAAATTGTTTGACTCAAAAGATATTGTAACCTTTTTGAACAAATCAATTAAAGAAAGTGAAGGGGTAAATCTTAGTTAAACATAATAAATTCCAGATCAATGAGCTACTTGAACAGATAGTACATAAGATGATATAGAGGTAACCAATCTTATTGAAACTTTCATTGTGATTCCCATTAATCAATGGGGGAGGTGGTTTTACATGCTTCTCTGGAGATTGCTTCATTCTTCCTCTTTATTACGAAGGTTGCAGAAGAGAGAAATAAGGAGAAAGGGAGAAGCCCCGAAACCCTCCCCCCTCCCTAACCGAAGATTTTCCCTTCCTATATATAGTCATGGGACATTTGCTATTTACTTGGTCTGACTCTCTCACATTATCTGTCTTGGTCGTCCCCTCGACGTTGTTCCTTCTGACTCGACGGATGTCGTGAGTGCGGGATGTAGAATGGACCATGTCGTCTTTCGATACGCAGTCTCTTGGACGGGATATTGGTCAGCTTGACCGCAGTGGTTAGATTTTGACCAATACAAATACTTCAATATTAATAATTTTACTGCGATTACATAATTTTTATTAGGTTGCCCTTAAACTTGTTCGAAATTTTTATTTAGACACCTAAACTAACTATCATACCTACTGAACACTTGAACTCAAGCCAAGCCATATCTATTAGACATGCCTGGCTGACAAGGCATCATATGTGTGCCACACTCATTATCATCGCGTGACATCCATTGTTTTTTTTAAAAAAAACAATGTTTATCCTTCTTCTTTCTCATTCTCTCTCCTCCACCCACCACCTCTTCCATGCGTTGCATATTCTAATTGGTTTACTTTGCCATAGGAGGTGTTTGGCAACACACTCTAAACTATTTCAAAGGTTGTGCCAGGCATGTCTGATAGGCACACTTAGGCTTGGGTTTAGATGTGTTCAATAGGAACATGACTTAGGGTGTGTTTGGTATGAAGGAAAATATTTTTCAATTTTTCTATGTTTGGTTGGATTAAATGTTTTGAAAAATATTTTCTTTATCAACTCAAACAATGTTTTCCGTATCAAGAGAAAGGGAAAACATTTTCTAAAATTCCTTTTCAACCTTCCCCACCCTCACCCCCTCTCTCNCCCGAAAAATATATGTTTTAAATATATTTTTCTGTTTTAGTTTTTTTATTTATCGGTTTAAAGGATCAAAATTTTACAAGTTCCAAAGCTATGAATTCGGAGGTTTATGTGTTTGGAAGTTTATGGGTTTAGAAATTATAAAGATTACGGGTTCAAAATTCTACGGTTTCGAAAATTTAGCGGTTCGAAAGTTTATGAAATTTGTGAATTCGGAAGGTTATTGGTTTGAAAATTTATGGCTTCATTTTTATTATATCTAAATCATTTATGAATACTCTTGAGAAGTCATTTTCCTTAATTTTGCGTATCAAACACCGAAAAATAAACAAGATTACTATTTGTTTTTCAAAAAAATATTTTTCACGGAAAATATTTTCCGTTATACCAAACACACCCTTAGCTCAAATATTTAAATAAAAACTCGGGCATTTAACAGGCTGCATATGTATTCGGCCATTTTGTTAAAATGAGTTATTCTTTTAAACGAATTCATTAAATTCATCAAAGAGTACTAATTACTTCTCTTGTTTATAATAAATAGTACTCCTTTCACCTCATTTTATGTGATAATGTTTAACTTAAGATGGAGTTTTAAAAAGAAAGATGTCAAATCTTGTATTTTAAATAGGCCATAAATATTTATGTGGCTATACTATATCACAAGCTATTCCGGATATAGAAAGCTGTATATTTTTAGATAGCCCTAAAAGGGGAGTATGTTACCTGAAATACGACGGCCTTTTTGTTAAAATGAGTTATTCTTTTAAGCGAATTCATTAAATTCATCAAAGAGTACTAATTACTTCTCTTGTTTATAATAAATAGTACTCCTTTCACCTCATTTTATGTGATAATGTTTAACTTAAAATGGAGTTTTAAAAAGAAAGACGTCAAATCTTGTATTTTAAATAGGCCATAAATATTTATGTGGCTATACTAAATCACAAGCTATTCCGGATATAGAAAGATGTATATTTTTAGATAGCCTAAAAGGGGAGTATGTTACCTGAAATAGGACGGAGGAGTAATTAGTTAACATCCTGTTTCGCCGTTTCATGCAAATAGGTCCTGGATACTAATATTCATTGTTAAACAACATTGACAAGAAATACTCCCATAGTGAATACCCTTCTATAAAAAGAAATTAGATGTCCAAGATAGATGAAAATAAATAAAATAAAAACAATTAATTTATCAAACTTGGTGCAGCATTAAACTTGAGTACTTGGAACCATTGCGCTTGAATCCATAAGGACAAATTATTGGTTACAATAATTGGTGCTTGACTTGATTGAAATTATTATTGGGATAAACCTTAAATCAATTTACAGCAGGGCAAACCCAAGAAACGAGAAATCATACACCTGCCCCGCAGTTGAGCAACTCATGAGAAAACTGTAGACCTAAAGGAAATATATGGCAAAATACATCGACAAACCCCTCAAAAAAAAATTCATTCTTTTTCACTTAAATACTCTATCTTAAGTATGTTTTATTTGAGCACTTTAACCAAGTCTTTATCATGTCATTTAGACACAAAAGGCTGCAAACATTTCTTACATTTTTCAAGCTCGTGAAATGGCACGAATAATAAACTACTCACACTTTTTCTATTTTTTTCTTTTTTCTTTTCTTATTCTTTTCTTCCTCTCTTACCTCACCCTTCTTGGACGGAAGCTATGGAATAACCGGCTATCTTTTCTGGAAATTGGTCTCTTCAAATTTTTTAATCTCTTTCCACTCTCTTTTTTTCTCTCTCTCTCACTCACACACGCACGCACAAATCACACTCAACAGAATGCAAACAAATCAAGCCAACATCTGTAACGGAAAGAATTTGAAAAATGTCAAACCTAGGCATTCCATCATCACCACAAATAGCCTACCTTTCACCGTTCTTTTGAAGAATGAAGAAACTCAAACTCAATATGTTTTCTTCTTCCAAGTTGGTCGAATCTATGGCTGAAAAATAGCGAAAAAGTGGCCCAAAAATTGATAGAAAATACCTGAAAATGTCAGAAATAATTTTTGGAGGATTGACCCGTAAATGTTTGAAGAAAATGAGTTCGGATCTAAAAGAAGAAAGAATGGGATGATGTGAGGAAGAGGAAGAATGGTACTGCCGGAAAATTGATTTTTCCGGGACGGGAGGGGGGTGGGGATGACGATGGGTAGGGTAGCTTTTCTCATTTTTATATTTATTTTCTTTAGTTTTTTTTTTAAAAATTTGTTTATGTAAATCCATGTGTCCTCATCTTATTTGTCACTATACATGACACAACAAAGGCTTAGTTATGCTCAAATCGAACAAACTTAAGATAAAGTGTTTAAGCGAAAAATATGAATAACTTTTAAGAGGCTGGCGATGTATTTTGCCAAAATATAATGTACATGAAGTGAAGACATGGGCGGTATCTTCACAGTTAAAGCACAGCCCTATAAAAGCTAAAAACTGACCTCAGTTCTACCAAGCAGCTGGTTTGCTGCCCTTTTTTTTTTGGGGGGTGGGGG